TTAAACCAGTACTGTGGTCTTTTTAAATGGTTTATTTCTGAGAGGAACCTTCAAATGTGAGCACGAGATAATTTTTCCCTCCAAATCCTAGGCATTTTAGTTAATTTAAAATGGGTTTATGTAATACCTGCAAATGGAATGCAAACATACCATTTTTGTCTTCTCTCAGCCACATGAAGAATTTTGTTTTTGAACATGGTAAAATATTCTTCAGGTATTAATTTCCTATACATACCTCATAGTCCTTACTGTTTATATTTTGGGTTTTTTGTTTTGTTTTAGAGACACTGCACTCCAGATAGACTTGCTGTTACCCAGTCTGGAATGCAGTGGTGTGATCATAGCTCAGTGCAGCCTCAAACTCCTGGACTCAAGTAATTCTACTGCCTCAGCCTCCTGAGTAGCTGGAACTACAGGCACATGCCACCATGCCCAGGTATTTTTTTTTTTAGAGATAGGGTCTCCCTGTATATTCCCTGGGCTGGTTGGTCTCCAATTCCAGACCTTAAACAGTTCTCTTGCCTCGGCTTCCCAAAGTGCTGAGATTACAGATGTGAGCCACCATGCCCAGCCCTGTTTACATTTTTACAAACCATGTCACCACACAACCCAGCATTTTGTATTCAGTTAAATCAGATTGTTTAATAACCTTAACTGTGAGGCCGGGCAAAGTGGCTCACATCTGTAATCCTAGCACTTTGGGAGGCCGAGGTGGGCAGATCACCTGAGGTCAGCAGTTCGAGACCAGCCTGATCAATATGGTGAAACCTCGTCTCTACTAAAGATACAAAAATTAGCCAGGGGTGGTGGCGCACACCTGTCGTCTCAGCTACTCAGGCTGAGACAGGAGAATTGCTTGAACCCAGGTGGCAGAAGTTGCAGTGAGTCGAGATCTCACCATTGCACTCTAGCCTGGATGACAGAGCACGACTCCATCTCAAAAATAAAAAAACAAAAACAAAAACCTTAACTGTGGTGTACATACTGAGATGTAAAAAAAGATTCTAGAGCCACCCACAGTCCTTGGCCGAAGGCCTCCTTCCGTCATCTGCAAAGCCAGTAATGCTGCATCTGTGCCTTCTTCTGTAGTCACATCTTCCTCTGGCTCTCCTTGGCCTCCCTCTTCCACTTTAAAGGTTCTTTCTAATTATATTAGACCCATGCAGATAATACAAGATAATCTCCCTGTTTTAAGGTCATCTGATTAGCAATCTTAATTTCCCTTTGCTATGTAACCTAAGACACATTCACAAGTTCTGGGCATTAGGATGTGATGTCTTGCAGGATGGGTACTATTCTGCCTAGCAAACATGTGAATGCATGAATGCAGTGTTCTGAGGTGCTTCTCAGGACTTAGAAGAGTCATTTTAATACTAAAGATAATACACATTCTCTAAGGAAGAGGAGTTTGTGGACTATCCAGTGTTTTCAATATATCTAGATGTTTCAACCTGAGGAAGCTGATTACTATATACTATACATAGTGTATATATAGTGTATATACTATATACATAGTATATATATAGTGTATATACTATATACATAGTATATATAGTGTATAGTGTATATACTATATACATAATATACTATATAGTGTATAGAGAGTATACTGTATAGTATATATACTCTCTATACTAGAGTATATATAGTGTATATAGTTATACTCTATATAGAGTATACATACTATAAAGTATATATAGATATATACTATATCTGTGTATATATATCTGTATAACTATAAAGTTATATATACACTATATATATCAGTGGAACCCAATTCACATCTGGAAATCTACCTGCAAAGGGAGTCTGGGAAATGTGGTTATTTTCTCACCTTCCAGCCCCTGCATTATAGGAAGGCACACTGGAGAGCAGAATGAACCCTGAATACCAAATCACCGTATCATTGTATCTACATTTATCTACCTCTTTAGCTAGTCAGTATCCATACAATTGTTTATGAATTCAATGCATTCATAAACAATATACGAATATTATTTAATATTCTTCTGTATAACAACAGCAACTATAACATGTTAATGGAAGTACAATATTTCCCTTCTTTATCAAAGGGGAGCTATAAAGATCCATCAGTCACAGGGTGGTGGTTATTCCTCTCCTGGTTCAGTTATACTCTCACCTTGATATCCTCTATCCTAAAAATGAAATGATCAAGTTGATTACCACCAGTACAATTTACTTAACACAATATTGGAAAAAAGAGGAGGCTGGGCGTGGTGGCTCATACCTGTAGTCTCAGCTACTCCGGAAGCCCTGGAGTTTGAGATCAGCTTGGGCAACAAAGGAAGACCTCATCTCTCCTAAAAATCAAAATTAGCTGGGTATGGTGTTGCATTCCTGTAGTTCTAGCTACTCAGGAGGCTGAGGTGGGAGGATTGCTTGAGCCCAGGAGATCAAGGCTTCATCATGTCACTGCACTCCAGCCTGGGCGACAGAACAAGACCCCCATCTCTTAAAATTTCATCTCGCAGCTAGGCGTAGTGGTGCATGCCTGTAGTCTCAGCTATTCAAGAGGCTGAGGTGGGAGGGCTGCTTGGGTTGAGGAGTTCAAGTACATCCTGGACAACATGGCAAGACCACCGTCTCTTAAAAAAGAAACTTTCGGCCCGGCACGATGGCTCATGCCTGTAATCCCAGCACTTTGGGAGGCCGAGGCAGGCAGATCACCTGAGGTCAGGAGTTCAAGACCAGCCTGACCAACATGGAGAAACCCC